CGTCTGTATTGGATCACTTGGGAGCTTAAGCTATTAGGCAAGGGTGTGGAGGCAACTGGTCGTGAGCTAAGGTTGATCGGGATCATCCCTGGGAGGATACCAGTCATTTCCGACCTTCACTACTTCAAGGCCCAGAGCAAGTCGTGGACACCGACCAGCTGGTCTTCAGGCTTGTGACGATGACACCGTTCGCCGTTGGGAAGAAGACAGCCACAGATTCCCTCCTTACCAATACCTCCCGCGCCACGGCTTGGTGAACCGGAGGCAGGAGTATCGCGTTCCCCAGCATTGCGGAGAGGGAATACATGATGGGCCTGCCAGTCGGGTATTCTCAGATGTGCGTGGTCAAAGGTCAGCGGAAGACCACCGAGTACAAGGACAAGCGCCTCAGCCTGATTGGAAATGGGTGGTCGGTGGTGGCTTGGCTGCTGGGACAGCTTGTGGGACCACGGGGCTTAGGCCCTGCCTTGCCGCCTGATGACGTGATTGCGCGTTTGCGACTGGAAGGAAACCCCTACATACAGTCGAGATTGATGAGACCGCCATTGAGGATTGACCCAATCGCTTCGGATATGCCAGAAAAGGCCCTGATACAACAGTTGGCGGGGCTGGTATCGACGAAAGGCGCAGACCTCATGCTGAGTAGCACACCTGAAGAGATTCAAGGTCATCAGCGGTTACGCCGTACGGTCAACCCCAAGATGTGGCGGTGGAAGGTTATTTCAGGCTGGAAGTGGCTAGGCAGTAAGGAACACATCAACTCACTGGAGCTACGAGCTTGTCTAGCATGTATCAGGTGGCGCCTAGAGCACCTCCGGAACCATGATTGCCGGATACTCCATCTAACGGACTCGCTAGTATGCCTACATAGTATGACGAGAGGACGGACATCCAGTCGACGTCTGAGGAGGACCTTGTGCCGAATCGTGTTTGGACTTTGGGGTTATGTTAGCACGGACCTCAACCCGGCGGATCGACCGTCGCGGTGGGCTGTGCGCACCAAATTCCGCCGTGCCAAAGGTCGTCTTTGAAGGGACCACACAAGCTAGGGGAGCAAAAGATCGAATTGACTGTCCAGCCATCGACCAGAGTTCGTTATGAGAAAGCTTTATTGAACTGCCTCGTCGTGTTGACCATTTAGACCCTTTAGCCATGGAGTACATAGAACATTTGTGGATCTCGGGGGAAGGGCGTGCTCTGCCCGCCGACACCCTGGCGTCTCTGCAAGACTTCGAAGCAAAAATTCGGGGGCATCTCCCTGGAGCCTGGAGATTGGTCGGGTCACCCACGAACTGCCAAATCGGGCGCCGCCAGTCCCTGAAACTGTCTTGCGTAGCATGGTAGGCTGGGCCTTGTACCATAGCCATTTTGCCTTCGCCACTAGCCTTTTGGTGTGCTTCTATGGGACCTTACGGACAGGAGAACTGTTAGAGATCACCAGGAACCGAATCGAAATTTCAGCAAAGCTTCGCACCGCCGTGATAGCGCTAGTCACTAGGCCTCACCAAGGCCGGGAAACGAGCCGGAGTTCAGGAAAGTGTCTCCTTGGCACATGACACGGCTTTCCGCTATGTACAGCACTGGATGCTATGTGTTACCAGCCTCCAATTAGAACCATGGGAACTGAGGCCCTACTCGGTGTGGCGAGGGGGAGCGACTTGGTGGTTCGGTCAACACGGTAACCTCGATAGAGTTATGGTTTTGGGCAGGTGGCAAGGCCAGAAAACCGCAAGATTGTACCTGAACGAATCTAGGGCCATTTTGGCCGAAATGCAGTTGGGACCGTTGGAGAAGACTTTGGCACCTTACAGAATCTTTTTTCAGAATTCAAACCCCAGGAGTTTTGAAACACTTGAGCCGTTGCCAAGCAACAGGCCGTCCTCGAATAAGCGAGGCCTGGGGGGACTTGGAAGAAAGAGAAAGACTTCCAGGATTTTAAAAAAACAAG